ATTTCTTTCTAGATGTTCATTGCATAAAAACAGATACAGTACTAAATAAACTGAGGTTATTTCGGTTTCTTAAAGTGAATGGTTGTATTTGTAATGTTTTGATGGATTCTCTTTCAGATCAGTAAAACTAAAAGATATTCTCAGAACATATACATGGTGAGCAAGGCAAATTATTTAAATGCTAATTTAGAAACTTTGAGCTATGTTTGTGCAAACTAAAGTGCAATTTGCTTTCTTGTCTGAATCAGCTCTCTGCTGTGGTCCAGCATGTTATTCACATACACGAATAAATATCTTTTGTTTAAAAATAAAAGGAAAGAAATCTCAGTTGGATTATAAAATAGTTCATATCTGCTTGTAGTCAACTGTTTGATAGACAAATGAATAAATGTTTGCAGATTGTTTACCTTTATTAAGTATATTTATGCCAAATTTTTCATTCTCTGAATAATCTCCAGGGTTCAGCTAAGGACAATGCAAGCAATTCCTCCTCATGTAAGAGTTCTAATGTACATTTTTATGGTTTTGTGCTATCATTTTGTGAGTACACTACTTACATTGTTCTTAAATATTGTAGGTATGTGCTCTTAGAAGACAGGTAATAAACTATCTTCTCTGTTGCAGAGCAGGAGGAGTGATATTTTTTATAACTATTGATTCAGTTTTCTTTAACTATTGTTAGACATAAATAGGAACCAGGATGTTTAAATCTCCATTTTAAAAATGCTGTGTGTATGTATTTGTGAGGTGTGCACCAGCTGGTAGGGTAGGGATACCTATTTTTTAAGTATAACATTATTATGCTGTTAGAATAGTTAAAGCACTATTTTCCTTTTAAATATAGTTACATTTTTTCTCCTTTCTTAAGAAGAAAGAGTCAGTCTTGCCCAGCTCTTCACAGGAAAGCCTATGGATAACAAACTCTAGAAGTTTATTCAGAGTAAAGTTTATTCAGAGTAAACAAGTAAAAAAGTTTATTCAGAGATACTTCCCTCCAAGCTTTTAAAATTTGTCATTGTCTTCATCATCTCCTTACCTGTCAGAATTAGGCTGACATTCAAGGAGTGTACTGATTATCAGTCCATAGTTCATAATTGTTCGCTGGAATCCGCTCTTAACACTTTGTCATTATAACTAAACGATTTTTTATCTTTTAATTCAGAAGCAGAATAAAGTTAGAAGTATTAGGAAGACATTTGTAAGATCTAGAACTTTGACATGATTCAATATACACAGATAAATATTAAGTAGCAAAATGAAGTAAAAAGGGGCTGAAAAGGATCTACTGGTATAGCTGCAGCATAGCTTGCAGCAGCCAAGGTTGATCTGATTTATGCCAGTTTAATCCATCCTTAAAAGATGGACAAAACCTGCCTTGCTGCAGAACGGTGTCTTTGAAGGCTGTACAAGGCTTTTGAAGGAAAGCATGGGGACCCATCTCTTGGTTTTTTACCGCTTAGATTTCCAGAATGAACATGCTTTCAGGAAGCTTTCTCAAGAAAAAATGTGTTCTCTTTGCACTGTTTTAGCTGCTTACACACGTCCAAAGAGTAGCATTGATGTTCTGAAACCTCTTAGCAAAACATAGCAAGGTGAAGTAAATGATAAACGTTTGAATGGCTCCTATTTCCTGTAGAGAAGAAATCAGGGGTGCCATGTTCAACCGAATTTTTAAAATGTTTGATTAAAAGAAAGCATAATTTCAACACTAAGCATAAGTGAAGATTGACACCTTGATTTGATTCACACATCTTACCCCATTCTCCCTTAGGTTTTGTTTTGTTTTAATAGTCAAAGGATTATAAAACTGCTCAGCAGTGCTTGGATAGAAATTAGGATACTGGATATTAGGATATTAGGAGCTTAGATTAGAAATTGGATAAAAAATGTCACCACCGTGGGAAATCTAAATATTTAATCCCTTCAGTTTGTAAGGGTCAAACCACAGAACATTTTATTGAAAAATAATGTATAGTATACATTGTGAAACACAGATCTGTGGAACATAAAACAAGAAAGTGTTCAAAAACTAAAAATTGGATCCACTTTGCAGTACATTCATGAAACTTTTTAGTAAACCAAGTGTCCAGACCCTTGAGCAAATGTTCTAGTGAACTGTCAGATCATAAAAAGCGAGTTTCTGAGATACATGCAATTTCTCATGACTTTAATATATTATCTGGGCACATATTTAGAACAGTAACATCCGTGTTTTAAAATAATTGGATACATATGCCATTCATAATACAATAACGATTTTTTTCATAAGAGCATTTAATTTGATGAGCAAATGCAATGTAGCACAAATGCAAGTTTTAGAGCTGGATCAAACACCATGTATAAACCTTTCCAAGTAGTTGTGGTTCCATCCAGAGCTTGACGGAACACGAGTCACAGCCTGCCATTTGAGCCTCTTCTGTAGCAGAGAAGTGACAAAATAGCCTGGCAATAGATTGTGAGGTAGAAGAGAAATAAGGATAGATTAGAGAGCAATTATACATGTTAATTTAATTATCCTTTACACTTTGGATATCTGGGCTAAAAGATCACAGGCAAAATCACTTCATTCTTCAGAACCTTTTCTGAATCCATGTATAATTATCATTATTTTTCTTATATAATAGTGCATACGTCTGCTTAAAAGAAGTTGAGGCCAGATGCAGTGCTCTATAAAGGCACTGACAGGTTCTCATTGACTCCGATAAAGTCCAAGACTAAGGTGTACTAGGAGGTGCAGGGTGTCCATGAACTACATCTGTTTCCTTAAGTTTAGAAGAATGTGTGTGCGTTTGTGTGCATTGATATGTGTGGCTTTTTAGCAGACCTACTACAAAATTTCACAAACTTCTATCAAATGTGGAAGTTTCTTCACCATCCATATTTTTTAACAAACACTGGCCAGGTGTAGCAGGGTGTAGGCAGATAACCTCATGGCAGTCATATCCTAAGCCAGATCCACTCCTTATTCCCACAAGGGCCTATAATCTATTAAGTAGCAGGTCTGCTTTACCCTAATATTTTCTGACAATTTTCCGAAATGCCTTAATTCAGGTGCCCACACATGCTCAGAAGCATTCTGTTGTAGGGGCATAGCTTCCTGTTTCCCATATATGTTTGCCACGATAGAGTTTGATGCTCAGTACTGTTTACATTCTGCTTATTTACCCTGAAAAATTTGCTGTATTGTGGCCCTCCTGCCTACTTTTTCTAGAATAGCCTTAGTTAGGGCACTCCCAAAATTTGTAAGAGAACTAGATTATAGAAACCTCATGGCTTCCTTATCCTTAGAATATATTCTAGGTGAAAGTAGTCTTCATTCCTTTTAAAGCTTTCTTAATGCATTCCTTGAAACACTTTAAAGACCACTCTGCACCTATTAACACAGGTCAGAGAAGTGTAAATGAGAAACCTTCACCAGACTGTAGTCAGATTTCTGAGCTGCAGAAAGCTGGGCAACCTGTAGACCTAGGGGGCCTGGGCCTGGGGAAGAGGAAAGAGGCAGACTCTCTTTCCTAGCAGTGTTTCATAGCTGAATATGTATACAACCCAGTGTATGAGTTGTTGTGGTAGCATTTGGATTCTCATCTTTGCCACCTTGTGCATAAGTGTATGGCTCCACGCTGGCTTGTCGTGTCCTGAGCTCTACATCCCTGGCTGCAGAGAGGCCAGCTTCAGTAGTGGGGATGGAGGACATCTCCTCTCTTGCAAATCCTTAAATCTCTTTCATAGGAATAGAGTTGTGTTGCTTCTATATAAAGTCGCTGGGAAGAGGTAGTTTATTCTTACATTAGCAAATAGTGAAACTCCGTGTGATTGTACCTATAGAGTGAAAGATATGTTGCTAAGGTCCCAACATCCATCTCTGTGTGTTTCAGGATTTCTTCCTTAGGATTAGCTCTACTCTTGCTTCATGGAATGAATGGTCATTAGCAGTTGGGCTGCATTAGGTTCACTCCTGGAGTGCATCATTTGGCTTAGTTTCATCCGCAGTCATCCAGTTTCATTCAGTTAGCATGCTCCAAGACTGTTCTGCGCAGTGCATGGGGATGATGATTGAGAGATTTTCTTCAAAAGTGCAATCCCGATCTAAATAAAATGCTAGCTAATGTAATATTTTAATCACTCACGGAGGACTAACATAGGTGGCCTGCATTGCCTCTGAAAGGCTGTCAGAATACTGGCCTGGCTTGATTCAATTGTCAAGGAAGAGGCATCTACTGCCATTTAAATTGCCCTACAATAGCCTACCTGTCCTCCAAGCACCTATCCATCAGGGCACAGACCTCCTAAAGGTTTGGCATCATATTTGTCAGCTCCATGTGAATGTTTCAGATACTGCAGGGCATCTCAAAGGGCACTAGATATCTATCTGTGGGTAACTGAATCGAGACCTTAAACACTTACTTTAAGATATTTGATTGTCCTTTCCCTCTTGCTTTGCAAGCCTGGGAAGCACCAAAGTCCTGGGCACAACTGTACAGGTTAGTCATGCTGCATTTCATTCCTTAGTTATGAAGATCCTTACCTGAGTGCTGGAGACTAAGTTCAACATCCTCCTCTGACTGATTTAGAATACAGGAAGGGACCTGGAGTTCACCGTCTCCTAACAAACAGGCAATACAGTCTAAAGACACTGACATTGGAGGGAAAATATCATAGAAGTGACTGAAACATTCCCCATCAGCATGCAGAAGACCAGATCTTTTAATCAGGAGCAGCAATTGCTTATTCCAAAACTTAGGAACTCTAATTACTAAGATTTTGATTGTCTGGAAATGAAGATTAAATATTTTAAAACTTTTTTTCACCTTGCATCAGATAAAAAAAAAATCTTTGTAATTTTTTAATGATGCTACTATCAGTCCTCCTAACAGAAAGAAAAGGTTCACAAAGCCAAAGTAACACAATCAGTCGCTGTTACAAAGCAAAAAAATAGCGTCAATGTCAGTGCCTGCATTTAAAAGAAAGGCATGCAACTGTGATCTTTTCTTCCTCCTCAGATCCCCAAATCATGCAGGTTGGCAAGGATAGATGATCACTCTCATTCTTCAGACCACAAAAATGAAAGGTAAGAACTACTTACACAGAAATTAGAGCCATAAAATTTGAACATTTGTCATTTTGTCTGACAGTAGTCATGTGCCTTTGTGCTTGCAGCTGCGTTATGGAATTTACATTCTCAGAGATAATTCTGCTGGTGCCAGACTACAACTACTGAAGGAGAGATGGATTAGCAGAGTATAAGCATAAAATATAAAAGCATTGCAGGAGCCCATTGTGCATTACAAAATCATAAATGTATGACTTTTCCTTTTATTACTGGATTAGAACAAAGGTTTGAACACTTACATCATTATTTCTGACCACTTAGAGCCAATAATATATTTCTGTAGAATTATTTGGAAAGGATTATTGTTCTTATGTATTAGGGCAGAGGGGTTTTGTTTTGTTTTGTTTTGCTTTTTTAACAGAATTTGTAATCGTTACCAACACAGAATAAAATAATTCCATTAAAAAAAAAAAGAATGGATAAAAAACATATCAGATTTTGCTTAAGAATTCATTTGTTAGAGGATTATTCCTCTTCAATGATTAGCCTGGTAAAATGTAAAACCTATGTACACACAACATGAGCTGTGATAGATGTGGTTTGTGCCTAAAGTGCAAACTTCCTTTATATCTTGTGACCTTTTCTTTAGGTTGAACAGTTACGTTCGGGTTGCCATAGCAAGAAAAAACAGTTGCATCTCACAATTCTGAACTGTGGTGGTCAAAACGGATAAAATTCTAACAGGTTGTAGCACATAATTCACAGTGGGATAAGCAGAGCTGTGCAGAAATATACCTTCAAATAGATACATTGAAAAATTATTTTTTATTAATTAATTCAATGAGGATTAAACCAAGATAACACAATTGCTGAGAGGTCTGCAATCATTTCCCACAATTCTTGTGGTTAGTCTTCTATTTTGGAATGATAGTTCTGTCAAAAGGCAATAAATACCAATTTTTAATTAAAACATTTCTTTCAAATGTGTTTCAGAGATTATAAAACATTTTTACTGGAGTTAAATTTCAAATATTAAGCCTTTTTTCATCCTTAAGGAAGTAAGTACAGATATTTATTATATAAAGTTTTCTCTTCTATGAACAATATCAGCTAAAACATTGTCTAGGGAATTTTAGAGACCTCTCTCTAAAGAGAGGGAACCTAAGTCCCTTCAATTTTTCTTACATTGCCAGTACCAAAATGTGCAGAGTTGAAGGCTTAGAAATTATAGCCCGTCCCCCCACCCAATCCAAACCAACTAACCAACCGACCCCCAAAAAAACCACTTAGTGACACCACAATATTTACACACACATTTGCTGTGTTATTTGGGAATTCTTTGCCTGTATTGTCTAGATTGTTTTAGGAAGTTATGGAGCTGAAAGGAATAGGCTAAAAACCTCCTTCGTGATCATTCCTTAGCTTCTCATTTTTTGATGTAAGAGCGTCTCATTAGCTTTCACAAGAATCCATAAATTAGCTGTGAACCTAAAATGAACATTTCATTTCTATCACGGTGGTGCATTTCCTCTTTTAATCATTTGATCATGTTTTTTTTATTTATATAGGACATTTTTATCTCCTCAGAGTATAACAAGAACATTAAAAAGTTTTCTTTTTAAAGCTTGAACAATAAAACTCTTTGTTAAAATAATGTGTTATTTTAAATTCAGAGAGTCCATTGTTTGTGGTTTCTTTCTGCCTATTACTTGTAATGGATGGGTAATTGTTTCCAGTAGCTTGATACGAGACCAGAGAGCCTTTCTCAACCTCAGATTTCTTTCAAATCCTCCTACAAACAATATATTCAAAGCACTAAATCATGTTTACCAGATGCACTGGAAAGATGAACTTTTATTAATGGTGTTATGGAATAAAGCAGCAAAACTCCTTTTTGTTTGTTTGGTTGGTTTGGGGGTGTTTTTGGTATATGATCTGATTATCTGTCCAATTTTTCAAGAAATGAATAGATTATGAAAAGAAAGATTTTTTTTTCCATTCTCGGAAAATAGTATGTCTCAGCAAGTTTCGTATTAAATAGCCACATGTTCAGCCAAAGAACTGTGGAAATTTTCACTCAGATTCATTGGAGTTGCTAGAATTGCGCAATTAATTGGTCATTAGAATCATCAATGTGAAGTAGCACAAACAAAAAGGAAATCCTGCTATTTTAAAAGTTTGGGTACTGTTTGCCATGCACTCTTTGTTGAACCCAAAGGATGATAAGACCTCCATTATTTTTATTTTGGGGAGCCAAATGATTCTTCTTATCATCAATGGTCCTTGAGCACAATGTCTGCCAAGGGAAAGGATGCAAATAGTAGTACTCTGCTTTGTGACCTCTAATATATTAAGAGGAAAATCAAGACCTGTAAAAGTAATTATGAACAGTTCTTTACTCCTGCAAAACATAGCACAACTTTAAAGTTGGGAAAGGGGGAACAGATAAATAAATCAAGGACAAATAAACCCAGAAATACTGAGCCCTAAAATATGTGTATATGTAAATATATGTAACTTCAAGAGAAATCCCTCTTTGCAGCTACTCATGTGCAGACTCGTTAGAATCTGCAAGTGATCATCTAACCGTGTCAGTGAACCCTGATACCATTTTGTCCCCTTCTCTGTGACAAACACAGAAACCTATATCCAGGAGAAGACTGAATAACTGAGTGTTTCCAGCAATATACAAGCTTAAGTGACCTTTTCAAAGTCAACCTTCTTGTCCAGAAACCCCAGTTTGGGACTCGCTCCAGCTACTGGTGAGGGGGACATTTTGGATTCTGTGATGCTCTCTCCACCAGCTGCTTTTCTGGGGGTGATGGGGACACACTTCCATTTAGAACACGAGGGTAAATGAAAGATCTCCTATAAGACACTCCAGTGGCATTATGTAATAATGTACCATTCTGAATATTACTCTTTTCTAAAACAATTAGTTGAAAGAATAGATTTAGTTTTGTTGTTCAAGTTTTCCTAGTTTTGTCCATTGGAAGCATAAGCCAGTTCTCTACTGAGATTTGCATAATGTATAAAGGCAGATAATGTTGCACATATGCCTTAGTGACAGGCATGCTGGAGAACTGTAGTCTAAAAGCTCTTAGGAAGTATTGTTAAAAATTGTAGGTTCTAGGAAAAAGAACCGGGTAGCACCAATGTATTGTTCTATACCATGCATTAAAAGTAAGAAGATTCAGAATTCGTAAATGTATAACATTTACCTTAAACAGAGGCAGTGAAATAGCAGGTGAGACCCATATTCTCAGTGAATCCTATACTGTATGTGCTTACTTTACAAATGCTGCTTCCCTAATGCTACTTTCCTGATAACAGACACTCTGCAGGGTAGACCTTTGCATTTCCATAATCCCCATATTGCTCCTTAGGGAAAAAATCCATTAACCAGTAAGACAGAGATTCCTGTGATGGAAAGGGTCTAGATGTTCTGTCAGCACCTGTGGTGAATCTGTAGGATTTGTAGGTAAGGGAGGCTAAAGTATGATAGAATTGCATTTTAAGAAGTTGGTAAGATTCTGTTTCTGCTATATATAAAAGATGCTATTGAATAGGAAGAAAGAAAGCCAATTTCCCCGTGAATTAGATAAGTGCTCTTTCAGTGTATTATAGATTTTAAGACATTGCAAAAAATCAAAGTAGTTCAGGATAAAGAGGTTGTATTAATGGTTTATTCTTAAACTAAAAGTTTTTTGCCACTGCCTAGGCATTATAATACAGCCAGTTACATAGTAAGTCTTACATTACGGAATTTCCAGTAGCACTGCCCAAAGAATATATTTTTTTAGAAATGTCATAAAACACAATGATGACACCTAATAATCTCTAAGTGGACTTTAAAGATTTTTGTATTCTGTGATAGGATCTGTAACTTCAGCAGTTGGTTGGAGAAAAAAAGTTTCTATGGTACACTGGACCGATGATTCATTTTAGCATATTATCCAACCCTTTTCTATGTCTTTTGCTATAGGCCCCAGCGGACTTTCATTTTAAGCACTTAGAAAGACATATGGGCTTTTATCAGAAGAAAGAATGTCCCATATATTTTTAATCTTATTTAGATGTTCTTGGGACTCACTAAAGCTATCTAACTTGTTTTTGAGTCGTTTTAGCCTCTTGATCTCAACGACTGCTTCTGCAGAACTGTGTGGACTAATTGCACAATATGCAAGGCAAAGAAAAATCTTAACAGACCTTTGCATTTCCCAAGTGAGTAAAAAACAAGTCTTCCAATCTGACTCGAGATCATGATTCATTAGGTATTGCAGCGGTTACTCATTAAAGAAGTTTCATCACATTATTTCTGACGTGCTCTAAATTGGTTATTAAAACCTTGATGTTGCTATAATTTTAAACCAAATAGGGAGGATGTGATTTTACCAAATTATTATGAATTAGAAAACAAGTTAGGCTTTATACATAGGAAACATAGAAACAGAGGAAAAATGATCTATTTTTAAAACATCATATAGATGATTAGGATTTATAATTGAGAAGATTAGTGATCCAGAAGAAAGAATTTTTTAATAAGTACAACAGTAATTTTATATAGAAATAACAACATTAACTGCAATTTGAATGCCTGACAGCCTCTTGTAGTATAATGAATATATTTGTAGCAAGAACGCTAATTGTGTAAATACTTATCAATCAGAGATATAGGGTTATGAGTTAGATTAAAGAAAAATTTTTGCTTGAAATTCAAAGCCTCATTATCTTTCAGAGTCTCAATAACGTAACAATTACACAGAACTTTTAATTCACATTTTTAGTCAGGACAGAGGATATCAGTTAATGATAAAGCCTGTTTGACTAAATCCAGCAGGTTAGATAACTTTTTATAAATACTAAATTTTCTAAGGCCCTTTATAAATCTAAGTCACAGATGATCAACAAAACAAGCTTCTAAGCTAAGACTCCATGCAGGAGACCCAACTCAGTCTCAAAGTGCACTGACAGATTAACCCAGTTCGCTTGTGCAGACATGATGCTCCATACAAGACTTTTTGATGCACGTGATATATAATTCGCTTTCTGTGCAAGAAAAATGTACAATAGCATTTGTAAGCGAGCAAAAGAGAAAAATTTGTAATACCTGAATGATTTTCTGATCTAAATCCTATTATATAGTCAATTGAGAACAATGCGATTGGAAAAATATCTGTAAATGTGTATGTCTGATTGGATGTATGTCAGTCAATAAAATCAAAACAACTGCAAACAGCACCTTTACTAGATTTCTTCATTGGAGCAGGAGGGCTGCTGAAACAATAGCTTAAAAAGGCCCACAAAAACAGCATCAGACTGGTGCTGCTAGTTACAGGTTTCAAAAAACAAGGCCTGGATGCTGCTGGTCTCCTAATGGGAGCATTTGGCTTGCTCACACAGCAGGAGTCGAGCTGAAGTGTGATTCACAGTACTTTAGGCTCCATGAATGAATCACCGCTGGCAGCTCTGGAGCCTTCCCACCTCCTGCCTCCCTCTCAATACACCACTGCTACTATCTGTTAATCTGCAGCTCTGTCTACAGCCATTTCTCTTCTGTCATGTATCAGTACTGCAGTCAGGCATGCCTGATCGTGGGCTTGCCAGCAATAATCCACACTTTCTGTTCTCCAGCTGCTAATAGCCACACTGTCAAAGAAACAGTTCAATAAGCCTATGATGGAAGAACTCCCTTTCAAAGTACTTAAGAGCTTTAATGCTGTGTAGTCTATTTCTCACCAGTAATTTATGCCTTGTGACAATCTTGAAGATGGAGTTTGCAGTACTGTCATGTAACAAAGAAAAAACACAATAGCTGTGTCTAGAGGAAAGACTGTTAAAGAAATGATTGCAAAACTTGCAGTGAAGAACAGAACTGTGATAATTATGCAACAAAAATGTTATTGGTATATAAAGAAGTATTTTCCTAGGCCACAAAGAGCAGGTGTGTGTATGTACATATATGCACACACCAGTTTGTGAGCCTGACCTCAGTCTTTAAGAAACATGTCCTGCTGCTATATGTCCCTTAGGATCACAGTTTTTGAAAAAAGATCCATATTTTGCCTCATTTCTTCGTTGCACTAGCACAGCTTAGATATGTTCACAATACCAGTTACAGAAAGGGAAGCTTATATGATGTCCTAATGGTAAGGTCACAGAGAATTAAGTCTCAAGGTCCAGTTTAAAACTGAGTTTTTTTTTTTTAACGTGCCTTTTTTTACATGCCTTTTCTAGCTATGAGAATGCAAGTGAGTTTGATTTTTCTGTGACTGTTGGTAAGAAATGAGTAAATTACTCATGGGTATGTCACGTAAGTGCTTTATTACCAAAAAGACACAATTTTGTTTGTATGATTATTTTTGTTGTTGCTTATGAACAAGTCAAGACGGTGAGGAAGCAGTGTCATTCAAAAGCTCACACTTAGAGAAGATTGGGGGCTATGTTCACCAGGAGACAGAGGCTGAAAAGGGAAGAATTCTTCATAGACGTGAAAGCGCTAATCAAAACTAGGAAGAAGCAGCATTGTCAATTACACAGTGATTTGAAAATGTCAAAATTATATATTTTGTCTGCTTAGATGGGAGAACTCATTGTTCTTGATTTTTACATTTTGGGAAGAAGAAAGAAAGAAAGTAGAAAGGCATTTATATAGAAAAAAAGAACTATCCAAAAAGTCGGAATTGTTAAAGTTAAAATATTTCAATATTTTGCAAAATTTTAAAATCATAAGTCAGCCATTAGCAACAACTATTAGAGTTCCAGTAGAAATACTGGATTATTCCACATCTACCTGCAGCAGTTTTCTTTAGAACCATCTGATTTCTTCAGGTATTCAGACTTTCAGATTCTTTTTCTGCAGGATCTGCTTTTGACTGTCTTTTGAAACTGGATGTTGCAATGGGTGTCCAAGGTTGAATCCAATAATTCTGTATCCCCATGTTTTGATACTCTACTCCATCATGGTAAAATCACGATAACACATCATCATCATCATGGTAACACATTCAATTAATCTAGCTTTATTTGTGTACACTATTTGCAAAGAATTTAAGTGAGATTTACAGGCAAACTCATCATAGTGATCATTGCAATAGTAATACTTAAGGCTTTTCACGTTCTAAGTTTCTGAGGAACTTCAGATTTACCCTCTCCCTAGCAGCAGAGGTAAATCAAGGTGGTCTGGTCACAGAAAAGTATGATTCATGAGTCAAGATTCAAATTCAAGAGTGTCTTTGAAACTCTCTTTACCTTCATGAATCTGCAATGACCTATATTTTCTTCTTGCATGGTTGGTCGAAAATGGATAACTAGGACCTCATCTTCCATCTCTTGCTCATCACAGAACTTTCAAGTATTTCTCATGAAAATAGACCCAAGAAAGAAATGTTAGGTGTAGACTTGCTGTCTGCAGTTGTGGGACAGTCAAATATCTAACTCTAAAGAAATACTAGATAACAAAATAATTACTTTATCTGCACAGCATTCACTTTATTTTCTGAAGGAACTAGTTTTTATAAGATAAATGATTGTTTTCTGTTATGAAATTATTTATCTTCTTCTTAAACATGGAAGAGTTCATTTTCTATAAAATCAAATAAAAAAATTCTTAAACTGCAAGAACCTCTTCTGTCCTCTTTCCTATAACTTACAAATATCCAGACCAAATTAAAGGAAACAAAGGAAAATAAATTTGTTCCTACTGTAGACAGAGTCCTTGAGTGCCAAGTTTCATGCCATAATCAATTTTTATGACTGAGTTATAAAACAATGAAAATAGAGATTTACAATAGAGGCATTGACAAACTGTTAACTGCACTGAATTAACAAAATAATTCTCTAATAAAAGCTAGCAGAATATCAAAATCATCTAAAGAATGGACTTACATAACACAATGGATAAATTATAAAAATTAAGTTTATTGTGATTGAAACTTGATTTATTTTCACATTAAATTTTGCAAATTTCTATTTTCAGAAATATTAGGTGTATTTCCATCCATTTTGTTATATAAGCAAACAAAGGAAATAGTCATTTACACAATCAGAAAGAAAAGTTTTGCAACACAAAATAAGAGCAAATACTTTTGTTGCTGAGTGGGTGAGAAAGGGAGGGTGAAGGGAGAGCATAATTCTGGTTGATAAAATAAATCTATATTGTTCAGTACCATCACAGGCTAACTAGCATAACAATTGTTTGTGTTTGCATTATGTTCATAGAAATATTAAGGACTTAGCAAGTCTTTTCAAAAGCCTAATTTAGCTCTCCTTTTCTTAACAACATGGAATGTATTAATGTTGAAAGGCCACCAAGTGCTCAGAACTAATGAGCTCTCATGCTTCCAAAATCATCTAACCGATACTTAGCTGAGCTTTAAAGATGACTAACTAGGCCAATCTTTTTTTGGGAACATAGAGCTAGGGATAAAACTTGGCCATACGAAAAGGAAAATGAAAGAGAAGCTTTGTGAGCCCATTTACGCTCCCTTTGCTCACCATCCACTAGACTGCTGTGTTGTTTCCAAGTTTACTGAGCCAGGTACTCTTAGACTTCCCTCCCTCCTTGTTCTGCGCCAGTCCAATACATTTCCTGGCCTCAGGTTGTCCATTTATTATTCCTTCCCAGAAACAGGACGTCACAGTCCAGCTGCTCTGGACTTCATAATCAAGGCTGTCTGTTCCATTTTCCTGCCACCTTAAACATACCTTTTCCCAAAACCTTATCGTTCAGTTCTTCAGGGACTTGAGCTTAAAGAAAGATGCACCCATACACACTGAGCATGCTAGTCTGACACAAGCATGTTCTTTCTGTAATAAGAATGAATAAATGTAGCCAGATGAAAAGGTAAACAGAGCTGCATGTGTTTGTGTGCTTCAGGTTGACTCACTGCTCTGAAGAGCAGTTTTATAGCTGGAGAAAGGTCTTCTTAAGACATTCAGAAACTGTCCTCCCTTTTCCCTTCACTTTTTGCAGCTTAAGGCAGTAAAATTTAGTCCTACACATGGTTGTTTCTTCAAAATGCATTTCCATCATGACTACGAATTTATGGAAGTGCTATTTCAGAAGTCTTCACATCGTAGCCTACCAAAGCCTAGTATTCAGTGGTTACTGCCACTGTAAGAATGACTTTCTCTGTTCAGAAGTGCTTTTAGAATGTTTTGGGCTCCTCCAAATTAATCAAAAGCTCAGTTTGACAGATAATAAACAAAGTAAGCAGAGAATCACCGGATAAATGGGTTGATTAGGGGGTCTTAAGTCCCCTCCTTTCCTACCTCAAGTTGATATAATGTATGTTAACACATTTCTTGATACAGACAAATAGCTAAGGTAACCCCAATTTCAGCTGACTCCTAGCATGCATTGCAGTTCAAAAGACAGCCAGCAGCACTCCCTCTGATGTTCCAGTGAAAAGAAGTAACTTGATTTTCTTACTGTTATTTCAGGTTTCCAGGGTACTACAGTCCTCTCCCCAAAGTACAATAAAATAACATAAAAGGTACTCAAATGTGGCTTGGAAAAGGAGATTTTAATGATATTCGTTATTAAATCTAGCGCCCATCATTGTTAAATCAGTGTATATGGTTCCTCAGGATGAAAGGAGTATATAGCATTTTTAAAATGCTGTATGTGGGTTTAGCCACTTGATCCCTGTTTAAGTCAGTGGGAGTAAAACACTTAAATCCTCACATACCTATTTGAAAATGTAACTGTTTTTGCTAGAATAGAGTGGTAGCTTGATTGTTTCAATGCCTTAAAAGGCAGAATTATATGAACAGAAAATTACTGAAAGTATGATTTCAGTTTTGATTAATTTAATGTTTGCAAAGGTTACCTAGAGACAGAAATATGCTATATATTTTTAAACAAATACAAGTCAAAATAAATATATGCCATTAAGAGAAAAGTAATATGTAAAGATAAAGTCAGAAAAGCATTTCTGTAGCTTGGTTTAACTTTCAGCTAATCAGCTCAAGTTCAAATGGAATGTTAACTGATAAATTTTTCAAAACAGCTAAAGCTAGTGAATCGCTCTAATCTGGACCCCTGTGAGGGTATATCCCAGTCTCTTGGGTGTATGTAGCATGACTGTGAACTGCAAAGCAATTTGGAAGCTAAGCAC